GAATTTCTAAATTAACCGTTCTCGAGCATAGAAGTGACTTCTTTTTATTGAAGGCGACTCGACCCTGTCTTATCCTCTGCTTTATATCCTTACTACTCCTTCCGTCCTGTTTTATCTGACTTCCTAGCTACCTAATTCGATTACGAACGTAAATTTAAAATTTATTGGTAAAATGTGGTGAGTGCATAGTATTAGTTGACACTTTTCTGTGGTAGCATTTTACTACGTCAAAGACGCTCAGTTTTCAGATTTTATTTCTTATGAGAAAGTTATCGTTATTATCAGTAGACATTGCTAATGAATGAGGACTCGTGTTTTCTCTTAAACCGAGTCTCATTTATTTAATGTCTACTCCAGAATGAAGCACAAATAAAATAATTAACGTATCTACGACGAGAATCGCAAATTTCTCTTTTAGAGTTCTAAAGTTTCTTTACCGCGTAAATTCGTCAGCTTTATTATAAAATGAAGAGAATGTTTTACAATAACTTAATTTGATTTTCAAACACGTGCCTTACGTCACAGCTAAGAATATTTCGTTTAATTAAAATCTGAATGCGTTTATTTTAAACCTTATAATTAATCGGGTTGAGTGTACTAATTTTAATTATATTATTTGAAATATTTACTGTCACTCAGCGTACAACGTAATTAGTATCAGATTATTATCAGATGCACACAATCCTACATCACTTCTGTACTTGTTATTAATCTGTAAGAAAATAACTTCTATTAGAGATATAAGGCGGATATCCAGTGTTACATTTCATGCAGACTTTTTGACAATAATTCCAATTTGGTTTCTGTAATTTTAATAACAATGTTGAAAAGTAACTTTTTTCTTAAAAATTCAAAAGTCACAATGAATATCATTAAGAAATAGGCGAGATAGGTTGGTAGGACACCTTCTCAGGAAACAGGAGCTAAGAGGAGTAGAGGTAAATCTACATTAGATTACTGTTAATAGTTAAAGACGTCGATTGTTAATGTTAGTTAGGAAGAAGTGGAGGTGCGTGTTCAACCAGTCTTAGGATTGACGATGATGACCTGATGATGATTCTAAAATGTAGTATGATAATTATTCATCAATAAACTATTATTCTCATTTAAGGTTTTGGTGATTTAGAGTAATAAGAAACATGTCTTTTATTCCATAAAGACTTTTATGGTACCTACATCTTAATTAGTGTTAGATATTCCGTTAATCTGATAATAATTTAAATTCTATACGAGCAACGTTAGACGAAATTCCTGCATTTGTATAATCACACAAGTATAATTATTTACTGCGTCTGTAAAACTTCGACTTGTGTTTTAAATATCTACATATATGACGATTTAAAGAAAATTAATAGTTACTTTTATAGCCAGTAAATTGTTTAATTTTATTTATAAAAGTTTATATTAACAAGATAGATAAATATGATTCTTTTTATTAGTTAATTTCATAGAAGATACTTATACGAGGGTGGATTGATAAGTTTCCGGCCTAACCAAGAGATGACGCCACTAGGCCTACCTTGAGGTGACATTCTATAGTACCATCCTTGGATAGCTTGTAGCTATAGTTTCAGCCCGATCTCCTNTTACTGGTCTTGGTTCCGTGAGGATCAGTCTAAACACAGACAAATAATACATAAAATAGAAGCAAATTAAAAAAAAATATTGTTGAAATAAAAACCGCATACTTGTTGCTTTTGCAAAAGGGAGTTTTAAGGAATTTCTTAACATAAATGAAATTATAATATTCTAATCTAATCTAAGAATTTAATTATTTCAAATGATTATAGATTATAGATATGAGAGTAGATTTTGCATACGTTACGAAGTGTTGATTAAATATTTAAGTATATTTTTTACCTTCCCAAATCCCATTACAACGCCTGGAGCATTTGATTCGATCTCGTAATCACTTTCAGGTAAATATATTGGCTGGACGTACTTGCTGAATATTAACTCTCTTCCTAACTAAAAAAAAAATAAAAGAAGATTCAATGAGGATTGAAACATGTAGTAAACTGTTTGTGCTACTAATATTCAGTAATAATTGCCGGTTATTGAAATAGACTTGGATTTTTCATTAAAATTTTACCTAAAAGACTTATAGATTTCGATAAATGATTATTACATTGACGTGTTATATGTGATAGAAGGGTAGCTGTTAAAACTCACCTTAACTAGTCCAATATCATAATCGGTGTTTTCGTATTTCTTTACTAAAACAACTCTATTAACGTTTTCCTTTGTTACAAGTTCTTTGCTAGTTACTCCTATTATTGCAAAAATCTTTTGTGGATTACTGAAAAAATATTTAGAGATTTATGAAACAGATAACTCAGCAGAAAAAATAGGTTTTGTTAATAATTAATGTCTACCTGTCCAAGCAATGCGCCGCTGTCAATACCCAGTACGAACTTATAATTGCTCCTCCGCAAAGAGTGTTTCTATTCGTTGAAATCAATTTATACAAAAGTGCCTGTAAAGAATGATTGACTTTCGTGGAAACCAAATTAATTTGAACCACAACTACTTACAAAATAAGGAAATTCTCCCATCTTTGCAGGTTCCCCATTAACAATACGCTCAAAACGAACTGATGAGGTTGGATTGAACTCAAAAAGAGTTAGATTTGATAACGCTACCCCTTTACCTAAACATTAAATAAACGATTTAATTCTCATATGCGCAACAAAAGCTCATGATGGTGGTCAATATTCTGCGTGCTGATGAGATCGAAATCGCAATCTACTTCTAACAGTTTCAGCAGCAGGATATTGACAACCAAACATTTTTTATTTTTATATTTTTCTTATTCCTATTTTAATAATCTGCAGTAATAAAAAAGAAGCCAACAGAGTCGTAATGCTTTTATTATTAAAATTATTTTTCACTCCTTAATAGTATATACTTACAAGTTGTTATCGATAGTCGCGCATTATGTTAACTACGAGACTCATTATTCGTACAAAATTTAACGCTAAACTTAAATTAAATGTTATAAATAAAACAATATCTAAATTGCTATACATGTACATATAGATGTAATTATTATGAAGAGAATTAAAGAAACAAACAACTTTTAACCGTTTGTCAAGTCAACGCTCCATTAATTGAGATAGTGTTTAATTAGAACTCTGATCTTGTTAATGAAATCGATCGGTTGAAAGAAACCAGGGAATTGTGTAACACCGGTTTAAGCCTAGACAAAATTGTGTAAAACTGCGTAAAACAATTTTCAATCGCTAAAACTTTTTGTACTTACGTTACAAGATAGATACACCTATTGGTGGTTTTTATGGTTTAACGTTAGAACCGGTTCATAGAAGATTATTGTCGATTGAATAACAATAGTTTAAATGTCGTAGTGTGTATAGGTCTCAGTTATCTTGGTCGAAAATTTGTACATGTAAATATGCTGTAGAATAGAAACCGTGACTACAGGTGTTACTATCTCTTGGAAATGTTACTTTTACCTGACAGCAATAAAAACCTGCTCACTATACGTAAAATATACGCTTTGGGAATCACCTATACGGATGTCTGATTTTAGCGCAGTTAATGATGTTTGGGAGGTACAATCGGAGACAAGAGTACATAAAATTAGAAATTCGTGATTAATTAGGTTTTGCAGCATATCATAAGATAAGTAAATACTATCTATACTAAAAAAAAGTATACGGTTTGAGAGAAAATTTGGAATTTGACCAAAAACTTTGAATAAAATAAGAAATAACGAATAATATGGAAAATTTTTAACTGACTTTTGGCAGTGAATATGCCTTGATTTCAACTTCGAAACAAAAAAATATTTAGTTTCAATCTCTATTAATAATGAGCGTAAAACTTTTTAATATGTTTAAATAATAATTAAAACTTTAAAATTGCATTTATTTCAGACAATTATAAATATTATCATTATATTATCAAGTAAAAACGAGATTTTCAGCTAATTTTTCATTTTTTCCTCGATAACCATTTAGTGAATTTGAATAACCTTACGCTAAAGTGATTCTCCAGAGTTCAAGTTACTTATTATAAAAGTTTGAAATTTCTGGTAGCTTTTTTTCTGTTAATAAAAATAAATTTAATCTGTTCGGTTAACGAATCTCCATAAAATGACGTGTAAAATTACAATTTTTTAAAATTTCAATAACTTTTTAACGGTTTAGTGAATCGATTTGTAATTTTTACAGGAGTTTTAGAATTGAATGAGGAACGTTCTTCCAAATTTTTATTTGTCTCGTAGCATTTTATGGATTATTTATGGATAAAACCAATTTAATATCAATACTTTTACTAGCGGTTAATATATTAACAATTAGAACATCAAATACTATGATTTATTTCAAAACAACGTCTATCTAGTTACACACTTAAAGACTAATGTATTGTAGGATTTTCCAATGAATCGACTTGAAACTAAATTGGCATTTTAATAATAATTATCAAACATTAACGTGAAGTCAACTTATTAATTTCTTTCCACTACAAAGTACCTCAAGTTAATGAGGAAAATTTTGTTGCTACAGTCACACCTTCGCTGGAAACCTAAAAACAAATTTTAAATAGATATGTAGAAATTATTCCTGAACTATGAAACACGTTTGTATATTGCAGTGCAATAATTTTGCAATAATTGTGGGAGTAATTAGAACGTTTCAGAAGAACCGTCTTAATTTTACATTACATGAAGAAATTCAATCAATTTAACGTTATTACACCTATGGAGAAAGTCCTACACGAATAATATCCGGATAGGTATGTACCTACACAAATCTAAAGTAAAATATAATCTTCCTGTATCTGTCGACCAAGTATGTAACGTATGCCTGTTCGCGTATAAAAACGACCGCAGGTACTTATATAGAGTCAGCTACCCTTTTAGCTCACCGTAAGTACCCTTAGAGTACGTTAGAACTTGTGTTTGTGTGTGTGGGTGTGTGTGTAGACGTCTCTCGAATCCTGTGAATGACTCATTATGTCATCTTCCTGATACCTACCTTCAAGCTCTACTACTTTTCCCGCTCTTTTGAGTGCTTTGACGGCCTCGTCATGGGTCGCCTCACGCAAATCTTCCCCATTCACCGAAAGAATAGCGTCCCCGACGTACAACTGTTCCGTCTGGTCGGCCGCCATCCCCTTGAATATCTTACTAACGAGGATCGGCATTTTATTCTCCTTGCCACCCTTGATGGATATGCCGAGTCCATTATTTTCCGACTTGACGACCCTAACTAGACGTTTCTGATTCGCCACGGATTCGGGCACGTCCACAGTGTCACTGAAACCTCCGGGGGTTTCGATATTATTGTTCAGGGAGCCGTTCAGGGTCGTCGTGTTCTCGCAGGCATCGTCGAGGGTAATGGTGAGGTAGTCCTCCTCGATGGTCACTATAACACGGTACCACTGTCCCCGCACGTGCGTTTCCAGAATGCCGGAACGTCCGTAGAAACCCGGTGACTGTAACCCGTCTAGACAATTGTTCGACATTTTATTTACATTATTATTTTTGTGTTTCGTTTCGAAAATAGCGGAGTCGTGAAATTCCCATTTGAATATCGCGTTATTTAACGAAAGAATGTTAATTTTCGATCCGAGCTTTCTCTCACTGACTGCGACATGCGACGCCGTAGCAGACTGTTCGGCGTCGATGATGCATGGACAGGATGTACACGTAACACACGCGTAAGGTGTGCTATAGCCGGCGCGACGGTACGGACAAAATGTTTCCTTCGCTATTTGATTTTCAGCGTTTCAGCACACAAAACACTGATTCGGCGCGGCTCCGAACCCCCTCCGTTTCTATGACAACCTCGCTCTTCGTCGAACCGAAGGTTTCTGATCAGCTGTTTCCTACATAACGGTACCCTGCTGCCTTGTACGCGCCATCTGCGTTTAAACGGACCGACGCCGTCGTCGGAAACAACCGTCGGCGCCACGTTCAAACTGCGACCGACCACCGCAGCTTTCTGACATCTTTTGTTCGATGCCTTCGCTTATAACACACGAAAACTGTACACTGCGTTGCAGCGACAAAAGAATTCTGTTAAAAACATTCTGTAGTGTACGAGTTGTAAAAAGATGAAATTTTTACGAAATAAAAATGATGTAAAACAGATATTTTGTTACTTTTTCAAATAATATATTGAGATGCATTGACAATTGTTTCGACAGTAGCAATGAGCTGCTATTAAGAAGTCCCTTAGTCTACCTATTTCTGATTTTTTTTTTTTTGAGACTTTTGATCGCAGTAGAAAACTTACAGAAAGGTAATTCCTACTAATGCTGGTGGGCGGACAGACTCTCGGGACTACGCCGGAAGGTAGGACAGAAGGCCCTCTTAAGTCTCCTTTCAAGAACCGTGGGAATGGGTGGGTGATAGTTCGGATGAGAAACATGAGACGGACGAAATGAAGACAGAAGAGAATGAAAGATTATCTGTGGAATATTATTGCCCCAGCATTTGTCTAAGCGATTCAAGGAAACCACAGATAAAGTTGGACCAAGGCATACGGACCCGGAATGGAACCGGCGTCCTCCGGAATCCTAAGCAATGATCTAAACCTCTAGGTCATGCCGCTCGGTCAATAGCCTGTGACAGGACTGCACACAGAGGTTCGGCTTAGGAATTTAATAGAGGGTGCAAGAAGAAAACGCATTTGAAATAAAAATTTATTATAAAGTTAAGTGGAGAGACAGATGAGAGTTTCACAATTTCAATCATCAAAATCAGTGTTTTGTAAAACAATGTTTTCGATGATTATAATTATAACACGTATAAAAATACAACATATTTTACTTATGTTTGGCCAGACCAAGACTGCAAGATGAACACCATTTGGGCTCATCCCTAACCTCAACGAACTTCGGACACAGTTTCATGATGCAAATGGAAACCACATTCATTTTACAGTAGATCATTTTTAATACATTTATCTTAAATATTTTGTACTATACCCTCGACGAATTTCTTAATTACTTCACTCCTCCGTGCGCCAACATCGATCACGCTGGCGTGGGAAATGGCTTCACACGATTCGTGATCCAGATTGCCCATGTTGGTGACAAGACAAAAAGAGAGAACAGTCAGGCCGCAGTGTCGTGCGACAATCACTTCCGGTACGTTCGACATTCCGACCGCATCCACGCCCAGCAATCGGAGCATTCGACACTCGGTTACCGTCTCAAAACACGGTCCACCCACGCACGTCAGCGCACCTTCTCGAACAATATCCGTGATACCGAGCTTCTCGGCTGTCAGTTTCGCCACCTTTATCATTTCCTTGTCATAGGCGTCAGTCACAGTTAAGAATTTCGGTCCGAGTCGATCGTCATCCAGGCCCGATATCGGAGACGTTCCGGTCAAACCCATCAAATCTAAGTGGTCCTTAACTATAAGTAGACAACATTGATTGATACTTGTACAATCGTTATTTGAAAGGAACAACAAGGGAAATTAATTGGACAGACAGCTTCGGGTTCGGACATTGTTTTTTTGGTTACGCTAGGATATCTGGAAGCAAAAACTGTAACGCAAATGTTATAGGAATGGTGCATATGGATGGAAAAATTGTTCATACAGTAAACGGTTTTATAAATTAGCATAATTTGATAATAGCTACTGAAAAATATCGTTTGCGAATAAATATTTCTTATATACATTTTATTTGCCCAACAATATTCGAGTTGATTTGCAAGTGGTATATACTGACCTATAAGAATGTCTCCAACCTCATAATTTGGGTTAATAGCTCCTACTGCGTTCGTTATTATCAAATGCGTAATTCCTAGACCTTGCATCACACGCACTGGAATCGTGCATTTCCATAATGGGTAACCGTCGTGATAATGAGCTCGACCTTGCATACAAATTGCAAAACGACGATTCAATTCACCGACAACTATTCGGCCTTCATGTCCGTCTACTTTTGCTACAGGAAAATGTGGTACCTCCTCGTATCTTATGAAAATCGGATTAATCAATGTGTCAGCAATCGATCCTGGTTGGAAAGTTTTACATTTAAAATAAAATTATTATCTGATCGTACTGCATCATGCATCTAATTTTATTAAATTATTACCCAATCCACTTCCACATATAATTCCAACAGTGGGAACTTTGGATATATTATTCTTGAGAAATGCAACAGCTTCCTGAACGTGTTCGTATAAATTCCTAAAGAAGATTTTTCTGTTATTGCCTGTTATGTACGTATACATATGATCATTTAAATCTTTTTTCTTTTCCTTCGATAGGAGTAATTGATTCAAAAATTTTCTTTGTTTCGGTAGACTTTTGTTAGTGTACGCAAATAAAAATGTAATTCATAAGAAGTTTTGTAAGTACTTACTGTTTTTCAGAAGAACAATGTGAACACATGTTGAATTATTTTTACACTATTTTGCGATGAAACTTAGCGAGAGTGATTATCACCATTTATCCATAGCAACTAACACAATAAACATTCCTTACTTACTTAATTTTCTGGCAGATTTAGATAAATATGTAAATCGATCTTGTAAATCGTCATTTATCTATTAAAAGATAAAGTAAATGCCAATACGGTTTCTGAAACGTTTCTATATTGACTTGGTGACAATTGTGTATGGATATGAACATTTAATAATTGTTACACATGATAACGCCACATTTTAATGTGGACTACGATAACATTTTTTTTAATAATAATTTATGCATTAAATTGCACGTCAACATAGGACAATGTAAACTGTCCATGAACAAATTAATCGATAATACAAACAATTAAAAACATAAGTCATAACCTCATAACAAAACCATAAAAATATGCGGAAATGATATTAGAATTTTACGTTAAAAAGGAAATAATTATTACAGAAGCGGGTTCGTTTTATTTAAGAATAGGAGACTGATGTACATGGGAGGAAACAGAATATAGGAACATATTCTACTTGTTCTATACTTCATTTACTTTCTCTAGCGATGTGCTCCTTCGAATGTCTTGGATGCGCGCTGGCAAAATCGTAGGTTGGGAGAAAAAAGCCCATTATACTCTCGACTCTTGTTCATTAAACATACTTTTTCATACAGTACCTGCCAAAAGTTTTGTTCAATCATGAACAGTAGTGCGAGTCGAAAACAAGCGTTAAAGCATTTAATATGAATTCAAATATAAATAAACATTTCGTTGATATTTTCAGTAGTAATTGGTACCAATAACAGCACATTTGAGCCAGAAATTGTAGTGGATAAAATGATCAATTTTTCCGTGCAGTACTGTACGGATTATATGCTCCTCACCGGTTAGGAGTTTGGCCGAGAGTTGTCTCCTTTCTTTTCTGACCTAGCGCTGTTCTTTTCTACTTTGCGCCAGTCAAACTGAAGGTCACATCGCTACAGAAACTAAACGAAGTGTATCTTATAGTACAATAGGAAATGAGAGAGATTAATCATAATTCTCGGGCTTACCTTTTATATAGACATTGGAATATAGGGACTATAATTATAGAGAGGAGATAAGACATGATTTTCCGGAAAATGCAATTGTTTTTATTTAAAACTTAAAAGCATTTACATAACGTTTAATTAATGTTATTTTTATACCCCTGTATTATATTCTATCCACTCTCTGAAATGTGCTACATTCACATAAAGTATTGAAACCGAAGGATTTGCACAAACTTCCGGTCCACTTGACATCACTCCTGCAAGTAGATCGTCCTCGAGTACCAGTGGTCCCCCTGAGTCTCCCTGAAACACGACCAGTAATGTTAGTCTACAATTATTAGGAATTCTTTTTTAGTTCAATACCAAGCAAGGCCCATTGTTGGTGTTGTAGGTACATAGATAATGTTCTGAAAAACTTTCCCCCACAATTCCATCAAAACATTCATCTTGTGGAGCAACACGTACTGACAACTTTCTCAAAACATTACTGGTCTTGGTTCCGTGAGGATCAGTCTAAACACAGACAAATAATACATAAAATAGAAGCAAATTAAAAAAAAATATTGTTGAAATAAAAACCGCATACTTGTTGCTTTTGCAAAAGGGAGTTTTAAGGAATTTCTTAACATAAATGAAATTATAATATTCTAATCTAATCTAAGAATTTAATTATTTCAAATGATTATAGATTATAGATATGAGAGTAGATTTTGCATACGTTACGAAGTGTTGATTAAATATTTAAGTATATTTTTTACCTTCCCAAATCCCATTACAACGCCTGGAGCATTTGATTCGATCTCGTAATCACTTTCAGGTAAATATATTGGCTGGACGTACTTGCTGAATATTAACTCTCTTCCTAACTAAAAAAAAAATAAAAGAAGATTCAATGAGGATTGAAACATGTAGTAAACTGTTTGTGCTACTAATATTCAGTAATAATTGCCGGTTATTGAAATAGACTTGGATTTTTCATTAAAATTTTACCTAAAAGACTTATAGATTTCGATAAATGATTATTACATTGACGTGTTATATGTGATAGAAGGGTAGCTGTTAAAACTCACCTTAACTAGTCCAATATCATAATCGGTGTTTTCGTATTTCTTTACTAAAACAACTCTATTAACGTTTTCCTTTGTTACAAGTTCTTTGCTAGTTACTCCTATTATTGCAAAAATCTTTTGTGGATTACTGAAAAAATATTTAGAGATTTATGAAACAAATAACTCAGCAGAAACAATAGGTTTTGTTAATAATTAATGTCTACCTGTCCAAGCAATGCGCCGCTGTCAATACCCAGTACGAACTTATGATTGCTCCTCCGCAAAGAGTGTTTCTGTTCGTTGAAATCAATTTATACAAGAGTGCCTGTAAAGAATGAATGACATTGGTGAAAACCAAATTAATTTGAACCACAACTACTTACAAAATAAGGAAATTCTCCCATCTTTGCAGGTTCCCCATTAACAATACGCTCAAAACGAACTGATGAGGTTGGATTGAACTCAAAAAGAGTTAGATTTGATAACGCTACCCCTTTACCTAAACATTAAATAAACGATTTAATTCTCATATGCGCAACAAAAGCTCATGATGGTGGTCAATATTCTGCGTGCTGATGAGATCGAAATCGCAATCTACTTCTAACAGTTTCAGCAGCAGGATATTGACAACCAAACATTTTTTATTTTTATATTTTTCTTATTCCTATTTTAATAATCTGCAGTAATAAAAAAGAAGTCAACAGAGTCGTAATGCTTTTATTATTAAAATTATTTTTCACTCCTTACCCACAACGGAAGACCACACTTCACCTAACAGTAATAGCCTAATAAATTTCATTGTGAAATATTACAGTTGAAAATGTTGTTTTTGTTTTCTTTGTTGTTTACAACTGTAAGGTTTTTCTAAAACTAAATTTCGTTACTGAATACGTTTTTTGAAGTCGTACGATCTATTAATAGGTAGATACCAAAATTTTCAGAACCATATTTAGGTTTCAAAATGATAATTGCTTTTGCAAATTTTACTTTGTTGATTACCTATTTTTGTTAAATGTGAGTAATAGATAGTTTGTACATTCAGAAGCATTGTGAAATCACACTTTTACTATTTCCGATATCTACATGCCACATTTCTAGACACAAAGCCAAGCTTTTGTTTTCCTTTTTGCTGTATTCTGCTCTTGATCGTGCCTGATTCCAAATTTTATATCTAAAGATGTATCAAATTCAATTTCCCAAGTTAAATGTAACATAGACAAGTCTATAATTAGTTACATTCATTAGAACTTGTAAAATTATGTGATTTTGTTAAGGATAAAGTATCTCATTAGTATAACGAACGTAAAGACGACGTAGTCAGAATAGTTACCTCAAATTAGTGATAGTTTTTTTGCTATGTACACGTTAGTAAAAGCCCAAAAGGTTTTTTTTTTACAAAATTTGTACAAAATTGTAATCTCATAGGTAAAGGCGAACTCATTTAAAATAGACTTGAAAGATTTGTAAATAACAAAGTCTAAAAAGTAGTAATTTTTTATTTCAAGGTCATAAATTAATAACAAATAAGTTAAATAGAGTCATGCATTAATATAATTACATTTTATAATTTATGCTTATGTCTATTTTATTTTTTAAATTCGTAGTGTATATTTACAGTTAAATCATCTAATTTTATATTTTAAATTTAGCATCAAATATCTGTATTTTGCTTGATCCATTTTCTGTAGTAGGCCACGTTTGAATATCGTACAATGGACCCGGATTCTCCACATTCAGCCGGACCATTTGATACAATACCAAGTAACATCCCCGTTGTTGTTGCTAAAGGTCCTCCAGAATCTCCCTACATTAGGCATATTAGAATGTAGGTATGTACAGTACAAAAATCAGCGTCGATTAGGGGCATAAAAAGATTTATTAGAATATAACCTTCACTAATGTTTCGCCTAAGTCTATAAATGCAATTTAAAGTCTTGGCGGGGTGTTGCGCTTTGTTCAAAAACATTTCCCAAGATAAAAATGTACAGTGAAAGCGAGACTCGAGTCTCCGTCTCTCATCAAGTATCTCTGGTGTCGCTGAGAGAGACTGTCAAAAAAACTGTTTAGCGTCTCTGAACGAGAGATTCGAGTCGCTCATAGAGAGATCCTCATTTCGTATCCAGTCTCTGAACGAGAGACTCGAATCTCTGAACGAGAGACTGGAATCTCTCAGTAAGTGGTGTCTCGACAGACATGGTTAAATTTTTCTAAATTCAACATATTTCAGAGATCCCAGTCTTTCTACGAGAGACTCGAGTCTCTCAATTTTTCAGATTTATTCAT